ACTCCCCCCTCAAACTCCAGCCCCACAGTAGGGGAGAGGCAAGAGAGTTTACAAAGATGGATTAACTCTTCTGGAGACATAGGGCTACTGCATTTTGTGGGGTCCCCCTAGGTTTGGGGTGGGGCAAAAAATGAGGGGTTAAGCATGTGGGAGAGGACTGCTGGTGAGTGGGGAAGGGGTGAAGGGACTGGTAGAAGGGAGGGGGCAGATTCTGGGTAGGAGGGCACAGGAGTAGGGGCTTCCCCTACCTGGTGTGGCTCCTGAGGGTCTAGGTGCCTCTGCACAGGGCAGCACTTCCAAGCCAACGGGAGCTACAAAGTGGTGCCTGCCCAGAGTGCTTCCCTGCAGTGCACAGAGCCCCTGCCAGGCAGGGCCTGTGGGCCCAGTCCAGCCTGTGGCTTTGCTTTGCTCAGGCCCGGGAGGCTGGAGGCTCCCCCACTCCAGGGCTCTACCAGGCGCTGGAAACACGCTTTGGGGATTACTTTGACTTTTTCTTCACCTTTTGAAAAATAGGTGAAGAAAAAGTCAACAGTGAGCCTCAGTTCTTGAGAGCACAAAGCCCTGCCCCTGCCCCGCATCCAAAACGCAGTTTTACTCTGAGCACAATGCTGAAGAGCTTGGGCCGCAGAGGGAGCTTTCCATGGCACTTTTTCCATACAAATATTTGAGGATTTTGAATTGTAACTTGCATTCACCCCCTTCACACACTAGACCAGGAGACTAGCACAGTCAAAGATCCTCACCAAAACTTACACATTAGAATTTAATGGTAAACAATTACATCTATGGCACTACAGTACTTGCTAAAGCACAATGGAACTAGGGTTTTCAAGGTGCAGTTTACCTCATTACTAAGACACAGACTCATCAATAATGAAACAGCATTAAGCAAACTTCTGAACACCACAAGCATCACACTTTCCATCCATTTACAAATGGCTTCTGCTTTTGACAAAGGCCCACAGTGCCCTGTACCATCAAGAAAGATTTAAGCCCCTCCACATCAGTGATCACTGGGAAAAGCACCCGCTGAATATACTCCTCACAGGGGCTCATCGTGTAAAAGGTTTGTGTGATGCTGCATGATCAATCAACATGCAATAGGCTGAAGCAGGAGTGATGAACTGGGAATTCCTCCATTTTGTTTGACAAAAACCGCCTAATTGTAGACACAGCTTTAAACTACGACCCACCCACCCACCACCACAAGGACAACCTTTTTGTAGGCAAGTTTTGTTGCAGAATACCAGCCAAGTTCTTGAACTGCAAAAAACATTTGCTTGCAGAAGGCAGTCAGACCAGCAGTGAACAGAAAAAGAAACAGACTGGGCTGAAAATGTTAACCCCCCCCACCCTTGCTCAAACAAAGTAGATAAATATAGGATACACCAGTTAAAAATTTAATACTGAGCCAGGTGCAATAGAGGTTACTGGTTCAGTGCTCAGATTTTTTTTGTTTTTGTTTTTTTGACACTGACTAGAATACAGTGGATAAGTAAAGTTCTCCACCAGGAAGAGAAATACTTGTGTTGCCACAACACATTGTTTATACTGTCCATCTGTGTTTGCAGTGGGAGTAAGCTAGATGAGCAAAGGATTTACACTGTACTTGTCCTGCAGAAGCATATGCCTGAGTTGCATCAGAAACTGCTTCAAGAACAAACATGAGAACTGTAGGGTGTTGTGATGGCCATGTCCTACACAGAATATGCTGTATGCCACTAGCTAAGACAATTCAATTGTGATACATGAACAACGTTATTGAGAGGAAACATGTAAGACAATTGGACAAAAATAGTTGATGACTTAAAGAAACAATCTCCTTTAAAATAAGGGGATAATGTTGAAGTTTACAAACTTACATTCCTAAAAATACAGAAAGGCACATTTACATCATGGGCTGGTTGAATTATATGCACTAATGAATTCACTGAGAATTAAAGAAACTGTCCAGATCCTCTCATGATTTTTAATATGTGTGTTAATAACAACAATTTAAGTAGCATATAGACCTAGCTCAAGTGTCAATGTCTTAAGGTTTAATGCCAAAAATTGCATCTTGAAAAACTGCATCATTCACTATAAAAATAATGAATTCTGCCAATTACCTTTTATTGTGTTTAACAGCTGCTGGTTCTGATCAGAACATAGGCTCTAGCTGCAAAGATTCAAAAATTGTAATTAACAAGCGGATGGCTACAATTTAAAGCAAGGAATAATCTATTTATTGGTCTATAACAAAGACATCCTGGTAGATCTATCTGCCACTTGATGTATTAAGTGACAGTCACTACTAGGTTTAGGGAAGTGTAGAATTTACATAGTTTCATACAATTTAATTTAGCAATACTGAACATTTCTGCAGTTTTATACAAAGCCAGATTTATTTGTAAGAGACGGTGGCAAAGCCATCTGAGAAGAATCAAACAGCAATTAAAACTTTTTTGCAACTGTCTCCTGAGGGACTTGGTCAACTAATACTGAAATACATGCCACGTCTACACCATGTTTTTAAAAAAACCTCACTGCAAACTAGTTTCCCTTCAAAGAGATACAAGCAGGGGAAGGGCAGATGTTTTTACAAAGTTATATATAAACACACCTGTTTGTAAACTCTTGAGACCATCAGCACAGAGGGATCTGGCTGGGCAGCTGACTTGGCAGGCAGTAGGCAAACAAAGAAGCATAAGTTGAGTTCGGTGTCATTCAATTTATACTGGGCTCCTCTCTATTAGCAGTACTAGACCAGCTGAAATTCTAGCCGCTAACACTGAATTCTTATTCCATTAAGCTGCTATGAGGCTTGAATAGAACAGATGGCTTACATTTCAACTTCAGACCTAGTATCATGTCTCTTCTTTTCGTCAAGAGACCATGAAAAATATTGGACTACTAATTAAATACCGCAGTCAGTGAGGGCCTATGCTCAAAAGGCAATGTTTTAGCTCCACAATTTGCATGAACTGTGCTATAATATCCCCACATATAGGTTTAAATACATCTTCCCTACTAGTTTGACCCTGAGTCTGGATTAGCCAACATGCCATGAAAAGTCTAGCTCCAAACCCATAACAAAGCTGTCTTTCAGACCTAAATGAAGACAGTGGGATTTTAATCAAGCTGGAAAAGGATAGAAGCAAGTGGGAGTTTTGTTGAGACAAAAAACTTCTCCTGTGTGAAGCCCCCATATTCAGCTCTCATTTTAGACTATAGAAGGGACGGTGGCCCAATGGCGAGGAGTGTGCTAGATTCAAAAGCAAGTGCTTGCTATTAAACATTGGGATAAATGCTAAAATTCAGAACTCACCCTAGCAATTCCATTTCAGTTAAAAAAAACTAAATTAAAATTCCACAACACATATAAAGACGTATATTAGAGTAATAATTTAAATGTCTCTTTTTAGGGGATGAAGTACAAATGAGATATACTTGAATTTGCAGTACAAATACAACTGAATCAACTATTTATTTACAAGGAGTCCTGAAAGACAGCAGCCTTGGTACACATTAATAGCAGCAATTACCCAGTCTACTTAATGATGCCACATCTCATCTCTTCTGCAGGCAAAGAGTGATTGTTCAGAGGTCACTGTTAAGTTTCTTGCACTGGGGCAAACAGTATGTGCAAGCAATTCCTTGATTTAAAAGTGATTCAATCTTATCTACATAACAGCTGAGAGAGCAGCATAAAATTCTATTGCTCTTCATAATCAGGAACACATTTCTCTTGCTTATAAAAGAGGATACAAAGCTTCTCTGATGTAAATGTGCCTTTAGAAAGTGAAAACTGAAAACATTAATACAAAAGTCAAATAACTATGCAATTCATGAAACTATATAAAAATTGAGTTATCACAACTAAAGCAGCAAATCAAAATATCTGCTGAGGTTTTCTGGTAAAACTAAAAAAAAGTTAGTTTGTGTCAAAGTTCAATAAGTCAAATGCTACCATTGACACAACAAAACTAAAACCCACACGAGGAAGTTGAAAAGTGCACAATGAAATTAATAGTCTTGGATCAAGTATTTATGGAGAATTGGAAATGTGTTGTCCGATGGACTTGATAAGTGAGGATTAAAAGGAGGTATTAAAGTTTATCAGATCCAGATTTGGCCTGCCGGTCCACATAGAAGAGGATGTACGCCTTTGCCTTTACCACAGTCTCCTCGTCGGTCAAAGTTACAGTACTATCATTGAAATGGAACCAGCGACCTTCATGAGTTGCATAGGCTGTGTAATGTCCAGAGCCAACACTGAAAGCAATGACACACACAAAGTGAAATCAACAAAAAGAAATGTATCACTTAATTCTCCACTGTCCAGAGCTACAACAGGGTAAGTGGTAACTGACTATATTTGATCACAAGGCTTCACGCAAGTTTGGGGGGACTGGACAGTCTCCATAATTGTTAACTTAAATCCAAAGTGTTTAAAGGGTAAAAAAGATACTTCATGCAACCGCATCTTTAATGGTGCCAAGATTTTACACTAACGAGATACATAAAATTACTTCCTTTCTGGGACTTCATGAAAGGTATCTAAATTTTAGCATAATCCAACCCCTTTTTGCCCAATCCTCCAGTCCTCTTGCAGTCAAAACTCCTAATGAACTGCAAAGCAAGTTTTGCCTCTGTAAGACTAAGACCAGGTCCAATTGCATTTAAGATAAATGCAATTATCAGGCCCCAAACAGGAATAAAATTTGAGTTTTACCACGTTCTTGTCATTTAATTTTATGTTCAGAATTCCTTCCCACTTCTTCTAGCTGAACCCTGCATGAGTTACAGGATTTCAAACCACACACACAGGGAAATTATCACCATGAGCACAGTTGAAACTAACTGAAGTTATTTTACACAGCTCTTGGATCTTTGTTCCAACAACCAAGTTTCATTAGCCATGATGCCTCAAGACAGGTCATCTCCCCCTTGCATGACTCACAGCTGTATTTTATACATCCTCATAGTTCATGCCCATCTAATTCTATTCCAACCATGTTCATTTTATACTGATGTCCATTACAACTATGTCTTGTTTTCTCAACTTGGAAACAGCTGTCATTGGCATTCTGTGGTAGTGCTAATGAAGACTATTTGAAAGTCAGACTGCTTGATTTAATATTACTTCCAATTCAGACTACTCATCTTCAACAGAAAGCAACAAGGGCAGCCTACTAGAGGGAATGTTTTTAAACACATTTTTTGCTGAAAACACCCTAAATTCAACTGAGCTAGAACAATGAGTTCTAATGAAAACAGCAAGAACACACGCTATTAGGAGACAGTGTAGTTTCTTCTAAAAAACTTTTCCTTAATCCCTCAATCTTGGGACTTGATTACATAAACTCTTGGAGGAAAGTCATCATGTCACTACTTCTGACTCTCAAAGTGTGTGTCTACAACTGCACCTGTAGCTTTCAGAATGAGGTTTACAGGGATGTCGGAACAGTGAGCCTGTTATATTTTGAAATAACAGGCACACCCAAAAGACACGGAATAGATATTTCAGAATACCTCCGGTATCCTGAAATAGCGCTGCAGTGTAGATGTAGCCAAAGGGATGCAAAAATATTTTTAATTCAAAATACAACTATTATCTGACTCCATAGCATCCCAACTGGATCTCAGTTCCATGGGAGGGGACCACTGCTATCCCTCTTCCTGCCTAAAGTCTACATTGTTCTACATCAGTGGTCCCCAACCTTTCAAGGTTGTCGGGCGCCGGGGGGGCGGGGCCGTTTGCCCGCCAGGCACCAGGGGGCGGGGCCGTTT